AGCACACTTGCACGCACACGCATTCCAGCGTCAGTTGCGCTTGCGCAATGACATCGATATTGCAGTTAAAAGCAGACACATTCGACAGGAGTATATCATTTACGAGCAAAACGAGTCGCAAACTTCGTTTAACATAATCATGAGCTCCAAACCTTACCGTGTTGGTCAATGGATTCCTTCTGACCAGAAAGTTCTTGACAAATGGTTAGACAACTTGATCACAGAAGTCAAAAGTAAATCCAAAGATAATTTAGCGTTATTGATGGCTGTTCATCCACCGGCTAAAGATGAAGAGACAGCTAGAGGTGGAAATCAGCTAGCAGTTGCTCACGGTACAGAGGAAGACCTCAGTCTCCATCCACCGGTTCAAGAATTATTGAAAGCTATCATCTCTGACCCCGAGATAAACATGTTTTTCCAGATGTTCTAGCAACAGTACAAGAATCCAGATGGTCCGAAAGGGACGGGGATCCCTTCCTGGCAACTGATGATTATTTCAATCAACCACATCACGACCACAGCTCCAGAATACAACAAAACCAGTTTGGTTGGCTTCCCCATCAACGTAATCCTAAACCGGCCGATGGCCACGAATGCTGGATTTGCTGCTTTCCTCAACAACAAAGTCAACTCGTTCAAAAGTATTCTCAACTATTGGGGAAAGTTTCTTTCCAGTTCTGCCTCTTGTTACGTGTTGACTGATCATCCTCGTCGTGGTTGGTTTGGTGGAGATGCAATGCAAGCGATGCCAAACTTCATCCAAGAGTTCCAATGCAAGCCTAACGAAAAACATTATGGTTTTACATCATGAGATGATTTCTTCACCAGAGAGTTTCGTGATGGCATTCGTCCAGTAGCATCTCCGGACGACGATTCCATTGTTGTGAATGCTTGTGAGTAGGCGCCATATCAAATCTCTGAAGCCGTGAAAAAGAGGGACTTCTTCTGGATAAAGCACCAACAGTACTCGTTGGACTTCATCCTAAACATGAATGACCTTGCCAAGCAATTTCATGGTAGAACCGTCTACCAAGCCTTCCTAAGTGCCACCAGTTATCACCGATGGCACAGTCCTGTGTCAGGCACTATTCACAAGACAGAACTCGTGGATGGTTCTTATTATTCTGCGACCCACAACATCCAGGATGACCCTGCATCGTCCAATATGTCACAAGGATACCTAGCCCAAGTAGCTGCCGGAGGTATTATCTACATTCAAGCTGACAATCCCGACCTTGGCTTGATGTGCTTCGTGTCAATTGGTATGTCCGAGGTGTCCTCCAACGAAATCACCGTTAAAGAAAAGGATAAAGTGAAGAAAGGTGACCAGCTCGGCATGTTTCACTTTGGTGGGTCCACGCATCTACTGATATTCCGCCCTGAAGTAAATGTCCTGTTTGATACGAGAGGTCAAATGCCAGGTCTGAATACCGAAAATAATCCAGTTAAGTCGAAAATTGTGACAAATAGCAGACAAATAGAAGCGATGAGGATTTTGATAAACATTGCCCTTAAGTGCGCTTTAGATGCTAATACTCTAATCTCATAGGAGACACTGGAGTTTAAATAGGTTTGAGGATGCAAAAAGAAATTTTCTTTCACTTATGGTTATAGATTTTCTGTCTGGAACAAGATCAAATTGTTAGAGATAGTTCAGATGGTGTCACTTAGTACCTTAGCCATGGACAATTTAGAAAAAATCAAGAGACTTGAGATGAAATCAATTTGTAGTGTGGACTCACTGCCGTTAGAGTGGGAGTGACTTTTCAACGGATACTCTTAAGAACTGCTTCTAACCTTACTCCATTCTTAGTTCCATTTGCCAAGTTCACTGTTGATGTATTTAATGAGCTATAGCTAGCGGCAGCTGTGCGTCTACAATAAACAAATTTTCCAAGGTAGAAAAAAAATTAATCTATCACAGTTGTGTATTTGTGCATTTGGCAGTCTTGACGCCACCGCATGACAGAGTTTCGGAGGAGTCAACAGTTATGGCACCTTGTTAAGAACGCCAACGGATTATATTGAAAAGTTGAACCTTGTAAATAATTTAAATCAAAGCGGAGCTAAACAAATCCCCTTTTACATTTTCACCAGTTGGTTAGGGTGGCCATGGGTGGCATTTTAAGCAAATAAATGCGCCGCGGAAATTATTCTCCCTCACGTCAAACAGTGTGCATCATGTTTCTACTCCTCGAACAAACTGAAAATTGAAAGTAAAAAGATCTCTGCAAGCATACTCTTTTGTTCAACTTTGCTATGAAAATAAACCCTAGATTAAAAAAATGAAGGTAAAAAAATTGAGATGGTTTAATCAATGCCTTTAGGGAGAGGCACATTGAATATGTAAAACCAACATCAAAGCGGCCGGTACATAAAGTTGCTCCTTTCTTTTTAACATAAATTAACTAAAAGACTTGTGTTAAAAGTGAAAGCGTAAAATTCTATATTTAGAGAAAAATTCAACATGGCAAATTAAAAGCAAAGTACCTTTTAAATAGTCGGGGAAAAGCTAGCAAATTTGTATTCCCTGCTGCTCTTTACTGAAAATTTTTTTTTAATAGTTTTGCATGAAATTAAAGGAGAACACTCTGCACTTGATTCTTAATGCCTTACATTTCATGTCCGGTTGTCATTTTCTTTCCGTCTTCATAGGAACCGTGTCTCTCTTTTAAATTGGCTTCATGTCAAAGTAATAGAATACATATCCTAAAGTACCGGTTGCGCTCCTTCCTCAAGAAAAAATCATGATTTGAAAAAAAACGAAAAAATTTTGTTTTATAATAGAAAAAAGTGTGTTACTCTTTCTAGAGCTTCATGTATTTTCTTTGTAACTGCGTGGCTATAAATAGACATGTTAATTTGTCATCCATTATTTTACTGTCAAACTTTCGCGGACGAAAAATTTTTAAATTATAGATGGCCGAAGGAAATTGTATTTCATTAACAAAAAGGTGATATAACTGCAGCGTCGTGAAATCTCTTCACTAAGCTGAAGAGTAATTCTTGACTCTTACGCTTCATGAGAAAAAAAATGGTAACTAGACTAATAAAGAACTACAGATAAACACATATACCTCCATTATACACAGTCCATTGTTAGAGGAATCTCTTAAAGCAGATCTCTAAACTTTGGTCTCGAGGGCTATACTATTACCAATTTCAAACTCGCACCGGCCAAAACGACCGCATCAAATGGGCTATAACTTTATCGGATGGGGAATAAATCAGTCGTTGAAACTTAACTTATAGCCAACTGTCAGACTTTCCATCTTCTAATTTACTGCTTCAATGATTCCTTCATTCATAATTCAAATTGACAGTATGAAAGAGGCCTGTCATCTGGACAAAGCGCTTTTATCCTTTAGGAGATAGGAAAAATTTCCAGACAAAGGCTTCTCAAGCGCAGTTCCACACACACGCCTTCCAAGTTTTGTTTTTAACCATCTCGTTAAGTTTTGCTAAATCATTTCTAAAACTCAAAAAACGCCTCTTATCCATTTCAAATCTTCTTCCAACTAACCTTGTTACGACGTGTGGGAAAGAAGTTTACGAGAATTGATGAGTTCAGCAAGTTCCTGTTTGTCTAATGACGTAAATCCGTAGAAAGTGTTTCCGAGAGTTCTTGTGTCATGGATATCCAAGAATTCTTTTGTTATGTATATAAGATAATTACAATTTTGTCATTAATAGCAAAGTAGATGGCGTGTTCGAGAACATTTTAACATAATGGTCTCGAACAGCCATCTATTATACTTTTACCCTGTTTGTTGCTTTTATCTAAATACATGCAGGTCTCAATGCTGATTGAGCTTTACGGTTGATTCCTGACCTAGGCTAAGAAATATTTTTGACCAATTAACTGCTCGGAGGATACCTCCAAATTTCCATCAGTTCGTACAGTCTAAGCAAAATTAGGGACCTTTGGCAATTAGGACGGCAACGCCAAGGAGAAAATGAAAGCATATTTTTCAGTTGGAATTTCGCGAATGACTGGATCTGTTTATAATCTCCTACGGCGCCACAAGTTAACCTCAGCATAATGTTAAGAGCAGCATTGAGTTCCAAATTGAAACTTAAATAATCTGCCGTCGGGGTTTCCTTTCTCGGACCACGCGAATTTTGATGATTTCACGTTATTTTGCAAAGGATGGCTAAGCTATTGTTCTGCTCATTAGATCTGTTGCTTTTCCATGTCCTCGTTGCTGTCGCAATCGTGGTTTGCTAAAGGTATTTATTGACGTTTTGTTTGAACTGTTGGGTTTTCAGAAACAAAAAGGCTTTGATATACTTGCGTAGGCGCATGTAATATCTTATACTTGTCTAAACTGACAATGATTGACGATGCTTGGAATGAAATAACCTTATCAGGTGCGCTAAGAACCAAGCTTTTATTCTTCGTGTGAAGGCGTTGTTTGGATTGTGATGTTGTCAGCAGGAAGGTTTAAAAAGAATATTTCAATATTTCACCACAGTGATTATCAATCTAACCTAATGTAGTAAAACTAAAGTCAGTTAAATAAACATCATTAACAGACACTCATCTTTGTTAGACAAACAGACAACAAAGAGTGTCTATTTCGGTGAACAACTTCAGTTCATTGTAATCTAAAGTCACGCAAAAATGACCCCTCAGAAAGTGAGTAAAACACGGTTGTTCCCTTATTCTTGTATACTCCGATAAGATAGTCTGCATGTAAAGGTCTCCAAAATGTTTTACTTTGTTTAGTTCATGCGGAATATAGGATATACCTTTCACACTCCGGCATATTGCCGAAGGGGGCCAACCCTCAACAACCTGTTGATGGTCACGGTATGAAAGATGCCTGTCATCTGAACAAAGCTCTTTTATCCTTTATTAGGCAGGAACAATTTCCAGACAAAGGATTCTCAAGCAGAGTTGCACGCACACGCATTCCAGTGTCAGTTGCGCTTGCGCAATCAAATCGATATTGCAGTTAAAAGCAGACACATTCAACAGGTGTATACCATTTACGAGCCGCAAACTACATGCAACATAATCATGAGCTCCAAACCTTATCGTGTAGGTCAATGGATTCCTTCTGACCAGAAAGTTCTTGACAAATGGTTAGCCAACCTGATCACAGAAGTCAAAAGCAAATCCAAAGATAAGTTAGCGTTATTGATGGCTCTTCATCCACCGGCTGAAGATGAAGAGACAGCTAGAGGCGAAAATCAGCTAACAGTTGCTGACGGTACAGAGGAAGACCTCGATCTCCATCCGCCTGTTCAAAAATTATTAAAAGCTATCACCTCCGACCCCGAGATAAACATGTTCTTCCATCAGATGTTCTGGCAACAGTACAAGAATCCAGATAGTTCGAAAGGGACAAGGATCCCTTGCTGGCAACTGATGATTATTTTAATCGACTACATCATGACAACAGCTCCAGAGTACAACGAAACTGGTTTGGTTGGCTTCCCCATCAATGCAATCCTGAATTGGCCGATGGCTACGACTGCTGGATTTGCTGCTTTCCTCAACAACAAAGTCAACAGGTTGTTCAAAAAAATTCTCAACCATTGGGGAAAGTTTCTTTCCAGTTCTACCTCTTGTTACGTGTTGAATGAAGAGCCTCGTCATGGCTGGTTTGGTGAACACGCAATGCAAGCAATGCCAAACTTCGACAAAGAGTTCAAATGCAAGCCTTATGAAAAACATCACGGTTTTACTTCATGGGATGATTTCTTCACCAGAGAGTTTCGTGATGGCATTCGTCCAGTAGCATCTCCGGACGACGATTCCATTGTTGCGAATGCTTGTGAATCGGCGCCATACCAAATCTCTGTTGCCGTGAAAAACAGGGACGTCTTCTGGATAAAGCACCAACGGTACTCAATGGACTTCATCCTGAACATGAGTGACCTTGCCAAGCGATTTCATGGTGGAACCGTCTACCAAGCCTTCCTAAGTGCCACCAGTTATCACCGATGGCACAGTCCTGTGTCGGGCACCATTTACAAGACAGAACTCGTGGATGGTTCCTATTATTCTGCAACCCACAACATCCAGGATGACCCTGCATCGCCCAACATGTCACAAGGATACCTAGCCCAAGTAGCTGCCAGAGGTATTATCTACATTCAAGCTGACAATCCCGATATTGGCTTGATGTGCTTCGTATCAATCGGTATGTCAGAGGTGTCCTCCAACGAAATCACCGTTAAAGAAAAGGATAGAGTGAAGAAAGGTGACCAGCTCGGCATGTTTCACTTTGGTGGGTCCACGCATCTACTGATATTTCGCCCTGAAGTTAATATCGAGTTCGATACGAGAGGTCAAACGCCAGGTCTAGATACCGATAATATTCCGGTTAAATCGAAAATTGCGACCGTACATCCAGCAATTTAAACAATTTAAGTAAGGGTTTTGATAAACAGCTTGAGTTTGTCAGAGTTCGGTGTGAACAGGATAATTTTCTTTCTTTCCTCTTAGAAGACGTCTTTTGCTTATAAAGAAATTGATTTTTTTTTCATTTTCACCTCGTCAGTTGTTATGAACTTCTAAATTTAGAAGTCATTGGCAACTACTAAAATTAGGAATGTTCTGGCTTAGTGTTTGTGAATTGTTAAGGCCTTTTAGATTATTTTGCAATCCTTATGCGAGTCTTGTGAGTCTTGATTTGTTAATTGCTGCAAGACCACACATTTATTTTTACCATTTGAGTAGTTGGTTCTCGATAGTTGTAATAGGCCAGTTGTACGATAATTGTCATCGCTAGCCGTGTTTGAGCTTGTCTTTGCTTAGAGTCCTCAGCGGGAAATTTTGTTCAAGGTTTCAGCTATCAAAGTTAGGAAGTTTTTTCTGGCAGATCTTTTTTATGCCTCGAGCATGTCTAATAATTGATAGTGTATTTTCAAACCGAAGTATTTAGACAATTATTCTAACATTTGCGATGGGATTTTTATTGATAGTTACTAACCAAAAGTTTCTTAACTCACATTTGGAGTGAAAGTTTACAGAAAGTGCGATAGTAGAAAATTTAATCCTTAATGTGCACATTACTAGTTAGTTGATTTCTGATATGTAGAAATAAAGCACTGCAAGCGTGTTAAGGGCTTAGATGTTTTGCTTCCAATTGTTCTTGTTCTTGTTAAAACATCACATTCCACACAACACCTCAGCTGGAGAACAAATTCTAGCCTCGAGCGAACCTATTTGGTCCATTTTTAATAACACGATTGTCAATTGTGTGCTAACCCAACCGTTTAAACACTAGGCCAAAATTAATGAGATTGGCTTGAATAAGTAATGTAAGATTTTAAAGAGGACTATTGACGCCAAAATGTTCTTCCTCTGGATAATTTGTCTTAGGCCAAATCCCACAATGATCCAAACAAATACGCACATCTCTGATATTCAAACAGACAACAAAGAGCGTCTATTTCGGTAAACCATTTCAGTTCATTGAAAAAATGACCCCTCAGTCAGAAAGTAAGTGAAACGTGGTAATTCCCTTATTCCTGTATACTCCGATAAGATAATCTGCATGTAGACGTCTCCAAAATGTTTTACTTTTTTTAGGTTCACGCAGAATATAGGATATGCCTTTCACACTCCGGCATATTGCCAACGGAGGCCAATCCTCAACAACCTGTTGATGTTAACAGTTTGAAAGAGGCCTTTCATCTGGACAAAGCGCTTTTATCCTTTATCAGGCAGAGACTATTCCAGACAAAGGCTTCTAAAGCACAGTTCCACACACACACATTCCAAGTTTTGCTTTTAACCATCTCCTAAAGTTTTACTAAATCATTTCTAAAACTCAAAAAACGCTTCTGAGAAAGAAGTTTACGAGTCATCTGGACAAAGCGCCTTTATCCTTTATCAAGCAGGAAGATACAATTAATTCCTGTCATCTAAACAAAACGCTTTTATCCTTTATCATGCACACACATTTAAGCGACATTTGCGCTTGCACGATAAAATCGATATGACAGTTAAAAGCAGACCATTCAAAAGGAGTATATAATTTACTAGCAAAACAAGCCGCGAACTACATGTAACATAATCATAAGCTCCAAACCTTACCGTGTTGGTCAATGGATTCCTTCTGACCACAAATTTCTTGACAAATGATTAGCCAATGATCATAGAAGTCCTTGCTTGGAGCCCTCAACGGGAAATTTTGCTCAAGGTTTTAGCCATCGAAGTTTGGAAGTTTTTCAAGCAAATCCTTTGGTGCCACGAGCATGTTTGATAATTGATGGTGTATTTCCAAACCGAAGCATTTAAACTGAACTCCCCTTTATCTGGCGGCTATTGTCGTTGCTTGGCCCAATCCTTGTCTTTTCTGCGCATTCGACAAGATGAGAAACCTTAGAGAGTAATCTTAACGTACCTGAACGTGATTAACAATAGTGCACCAATATTTGTTTCGAAGGAATTTATAGGCTTACACGGGGATAAGGTTTTCCAACACCTGTAGGGAGACTGAAGTAGTCGCTTAGTCACCACCGAAAAAAAATCAGCCAGCCAACGGAAAATTTCAAGCTACTGAAGGGAAGGAAAGATCAACCGGAAAGACAGACAGACAGACACGGGAAATAAAGACAGAGGGCCTGATGGAGAGGCGAAGGGATAGACTGGCTTAAGGACGGCAGAACGGACGGATGGATTGAGGGATGAAGCCGTGGATAGGTGGATTAACATACAGATGATTGAATAAATGGGCAGACAAAAAAGATACATGGACTTTTTCGCAGGTAAACGAACTACTAAGATATGGTATTACGATTGAGTACCTAGCTGGCGGTAACTTGGTCGCAAAATTTTTCAGCTGGAAATCTATAACCCTTGAATTCCGAGATCTCATTAGTTATTCTCCTTACTTTCTGCTATCCAATTTTTATGATGTCTATTTGGAAAATTTGGTAATGGAACAACTAAATATCCCCTAATTGATATTTTTGTTTATTCCCATCTCTTCTAGGCTTGATATCGTCTTGATATTTAGCCTTCGTTGCTGGTGGTCTACGGTTTTGGGGGTGGATAGAAAAACCGCAGACCACCAGCAACGCAGGCTATTTGTTATTGTGAGGAAAAATTTTTCTATTGGTTACTCATGGGAGGTAAAGGGCTGGACAAAATTAAGAAAATTCAGCCTTACAAAATTACAGCGACCTAAATCAGTGAAAGTCACAGGAGATTAGTTTGTTGCAATATCCAGGAGCTGAAGATAACGCACGACTTGAATGTGCTTTAAAATGTTCTGGGAACTTAAAGAAAGATACCATCACCATCCAGGGGGGGAGGGGAGGGTGAAGGTGTAGCTACCATTTACGCGCCACAAGGTAAATTATTATGTGCTTTGCGCGCGTATAACTTTCCTCGCCCCTTCTTTCTCATGTGAGTTTAACCCTTTTACTCCCACGATCTCATTAGTAATTCTCTTTACTGTCTGCCAATGATTCTCATTATATTTCTTTGGAGAATTTGGTACTGGATCAATTAGTAATCCCATATTTGAAATTTTTCTTTATTCTCACTACCTGTCTGCATGATATTGTATAGATATAGTAAGGAGATGTTCTCCCCTGGTCACTCACGGGAGTTAAAGGATTAAAAGCGTTGTTTTCTCTCAGTTTTAAGGCTTTATAACCGACATGTCCCTTTCGATTGATTTTCGTGACATTAGCTTCATGGACCTTTGAACAAAAGTTATTTTGATGTTAGATTTAAATTTTTTGGAAATTGTGAAACAAAGTAGTTGATAAGATGGTCGCATTCTATACTTGTGGACATTGGATGCAGTTAACTTGTTTATTAATCGATTTGTTGTAGAAAGGCGAGTCTATCCTAAACTAATGCATAAAGGGGGTAAGTTTCTAAAGAAACTGTGGTGCTGCGTCGGTGGGAGAGTATGATAGGGTGGTTTAGTACTATCAATTGAGTTGATAACGTAAATTAGCCGCCTTAAAGACTTCAAAAGCGTTTAAACTCTTTACAGTGGACAATTTACGCAATCAAGTCAGCTGATAATACTTAATTACTAAGTTAATGTAGGCTAATTGTTGGAAGCTAATTGTGACCCTTTCGAAATTTGCTAACTTGTGGAAAAAATGATTTGTCTTTATCAACGATGGTTTGACTTTACGACATTAACACTTAATCTGCGTAATAGTTGAGAAGGAGTACTGGTAATAAATAAGTTATAGAGGTATATGGTGCCCCCAAATATAGGGCTTTTAAGCCGTTCTGGTACAAAGACAGGTCGGTGTACATTTTTACCATTTTGGTTTAAAATTAGGTAACTATGTTTTTCAAGAAAACCACGCAAGGGTATAAACGTAGCTGATTTTTCAACATTAATCAAAGTGAATCACAAGTATGAAAAAGATATTTTTCTTTTGTTTCCTTTGGGTGATTTTCGTAACTTCTTAACTTCGGCATTGATACAAGCCTTTTCAAATTCTTCTACAACATAGAGTAAAAGGATTCTCAAACCAAGCAAAATTTGTCTGGTGGGGATATTAGAGGCCAGGTACAAAACTAATTATTGAAATAGCACTTTTTTTTTTATCTGAAATAGGGTCTGGGTGGATAATCCCTGCCAAACATCCCGAGGCGGATCCCCCTCCCTATCCAGGGGATAGCATAGCATGGCTATTTCAAAACGCCCCCAATGGAAACTTAGTTCGCGCATGTCAGATTGACATTTTCAATTTGAAACCGCTGAAAATGTACGCTTAACGGCTCAATCATGATCAGCATCGGCGTACAGGAAAAATTTTGTTTGGGGGGGGGGGGCTGAACTTAGTTTGCCCGAATGCAACTTGATGGTTACAGATGCACAAGATGATTCTTTCATGATATCAAGTTTTCTTCGCCATACCTTGAGAGCACGGGCGTTCAAAATAGTGCAAGTATTTTCGGTAAATCGAGATCAACATTTCTACGATACCAAACCAAGAAGTGAGAGATAAAGCGTACCCATTTGAGCTCTAAAAGAAGTATGAAGAACGATTACTTCGACACCCAATTATGTCAATAATCCTTTGCATATCATTCTGCATTGTCTTGTTCGCATACTTTCTTTCAATGTTAACAAAGGCGATACTGGTAAGTCTGTCTTGTCCCATTGTGGATCTTAAAAATGTCTTGATGCGGCGAAGGGCGCTGAAAGACCTTTCAGCAGAACGCTAGGTTGCAGGAATTGTGGCCAGGATGGAGGCAACTTTATATAGAACGGGTAAAATGTCATGGAGACCATTTTGATGCATGGTCTTTACCATCACAGCTGCGTTTTTTCTCTGGCATGGGTACCCGCAGTCGTAGTTTTCAAAGATTGACTTCTCACTTGATAGCATTTCACCATCCACGCCATAGAAATTTGATACAGTTCGGATGTTGTTGATGCTTGGAGAATGGCTGAATACGATTTCGCCCAATGCGCACAAAACCTCTTGGTCATTGCCCTCAAACCTTGATTGAAGTTCACTGACGACTTTGTCAATACTTGTGTAATAAACTGTGATACGAAAGTGGTCTTTTGCCGTCTGTTGTGAGTTGTCGTTCGCTGCAGCAGGTGTCTCGCCACTGAGGCCCTGAAGTCGGCGTGATGGTCTGGTTCGAGGTATCTTGGCTTCTCTGAAGGTAAATTTCGTACCCTCGATTCCTATTCTGATTTTTTGCGCCATAACATCAGCATGTGACCACATCTGGGTAAAGCTCTCTTCATTGCGACAATTGTTCAGTGTCTTAACGACAGTATCAGCAGTGTTCTTGGTGGTGATGACATCCATCTGTTCTCCCTGTAGATATCTACTCAAATTATCAGTGTTGGATAAGATGAGCTTCAAAACCATCAAGCCATAAACTCAAAGTCACAAATTGAGTGGAGAAGCGAATTACTTTCGTTGTAGGTCTTGGGATCGCGATCCTTTGATAAAGTGACCAGGGCTTCCATTATCCTCGGCACTTGCTCTAGCACGGCCCTCACCGCCGCCCAGCGACAGGACCATCTAGTGGTACTAAAAGATTTTTGTTAAGGATATCGAACAAAAGAACAGCCTTTTTTTTTTATTAGATTCAATTGTCAATTACTTTGTGTGCCTAGTTACGA